AAAGACGTCCTCTCTCGTTCATACCCAAATTAGTGTATTGTGATTGGACTGTGTATGTGTATCATATCCATGGTAGCAAAGTACCAACTTTGGTTTTGGATTTGCCAGTCATGAATGCCCGTCATCAGTATACACGTACCTCTATGCTTTTGTCAAGATGGGTTTATATGGGACTGGAGTGAAAGTGATTAGTGATGATTGTCTGCTAAAAGAGAACAAAAGTTTGATAAGGATATAAGGATACACAGGCTCCACGTCAACTTTGGCTTGTACCTTGTAGTTCAAGCTCCCAAACGGTCTGGAACTCAACTGGGTGTTGATGAGAGTAGATTGGAGTTTAATGGGGGTTTTGGACTTTCTGTTTGTCTTGAATGGAGCTTTAAAAAGCTGTATCGAGAGACACGCTGATGGTTTGCTGTGGCATTCCAAAGCAAAATGGCAAAAAAATTTAATAAAGGGGATAGATGTATGACGGCAGACTTCTAACTGCTTAATAATCGCGGGATCTCATGAATCTGATAATTTTTCTGTTTGAGATGCAAATTAGCATTAATATCAATGTTCCCAATTAGGATCTTATTAAAGGGGTAGTTAATCGTGGTGTCTGCCGTCTGGACTCAATAGAATTCCAATTGAGATCAATGAGCATCATAGTCACAGAGGATTTAGCTCGAAAGTCGCCTCATATAAACCTGGCTGCTCTTCGTTGTACTATCAAAGGGGGGAAAAGGTCGCTCGGGACGCCCTGGGACGGCAAAATTGACAATCCTTTTCCCTAGCTTGCAAAAATCGCCACTAGCTAAGGCGTAAAAGTGACCTCCATTTTGGCTTATCTGTTTCAGGAGATTTCAGTACTGCAGTATTTTCGGATTAAATTAAGCTCTACTGGTAGCTTTGCTACTTAACCGCATTTTCAATAGTGACTGTGGAAAGTAGATCTTAACGAAAACTAAGCCAGCAATGTGATCAGAGCAATTGCTCAATGCTGCCTTTATTTAAAAGTGAGAAATAACACCCTTCCATTTTTATGCAGTGTAACTACAACCATAGCGTGGTGTAACTCGAATTCAGTACACTCGCCTTCCAGACTGTGTTAACGTATTTATATGTCACATCGGTTTGTCTTTAAAAAAACAGGCGAAACATTCAAGTTCAATGCACCGTGATGACCGTTTAGCTTTTCTAAGAAAAAAAACTCGTATCTGAAAGAAACGGTTTTATATCAGCTTATATCAAAACATGACACGCTTAGCCTGCTCAGCGTAACCAATTAACAGCCTCAAACGTGCACTAAGCACGAATGAACGTTTTTGGAAGCTAATGGGATGTGAACGACTCAAATGATGTAAACGCCATTTAATTTCTCTCAAATTTCAATCCCATCGTCGAACAGACACGGCTTATGTATCAATTTTCAACCAGAATCACATTATACGCAACTGTACTGGACACGGTACTGAGGGTACATTGCCCGTAAAGAGCACTCCGTTGCAATTTAAACTTCTAGGAACAGAGTGTCTTGTACAAAATATCACCATCCTTGAGAAATTGTTTCATATGGGGTCTTTTATAAGGGTTCGTTATAAATTCAATACCTGGCGATTTTTTTGTCACGATCATTCGTGAAATCATATTTGTCACCCGAAAATCCTGTTATTTTTACAGCTTTTTCCTGTTCATCAAAGCAATTAAAATAAATTCATACGATGAAACCCAGAGAACAGAGAGGTAAAAAGTCCTAATATATAAATGTCAATATATTGAAAACAGAAAAGTGCATTATAAAATAAAAACCCTCAACAAAGACGCCCATGAAAATTTCATAAACAACAAAAAATTTAGTCTTTCAAAAATAAAAAAAAGTAAACAACCACAGACGTACGATAGAACCTCCCCCATATCCACACCAAAACAACCCTCGACCAATCTCAAGATTCAGTCAAAGCAAACACAGAACCAACCACTAAAGAATATAATATTTCAAACAAATCGAACTCTACGAAAAAAGACCCCCCCCCAAATAAAAGACAAAACGAAAAACCTACAATAAAAATAAAACAAAAGAACAAATAATGCTAACAGTCCGATTGGCCACGTCAGAAATAAAATCGACAAATATTCAGTTAACCTTCCAAACTCATCAAGTGTGTCAGACATTGAACGCCAACTGAAAGGTATAGTTGAAATCAGCCATACTTATGACGTTGTGGACACGTTTCATAAGCGTGGGAAAGATCTGTTGAAATTAATTATCGACATCTTTGAGGAGGGAAAGCTGCGCTGTGATTTTTATATGAGCCCAACAAATTGTTTCTAAACACAGATTTTCTGTTATTCGTCAAGCGCAGTAAGACATCGGGCTGGGGAGGTGTAATCACTAGAGGAACAGATAACTTGAACATGCACTAAAAACTAGCAATAGTCGCTGGTCCAGTAGGTGGGGGTCACCCCCCCGCCCGCTCTGACACCCCCCCCCAAAAAAAATAAATAAGAAAAGAATAACAATCAAAGTAACACATGCAATAAAAAGATGACACCCCGTAATCGTTATTACAATGTATCAGTGAAATTGCAACGCATTATCTACGTGTCCTCTTGTTCGCAACAACGGGACGTTTAAAAAAAGCTGATGAGCCTGACCCCCCCCATTAAATTCATGATTCAACCCTTGAGCAGTTTTTGCGCTGGCGTACCAAAGCGGTCGGCAAAATGCTCCGGAGGAAAGTGTAATCTTTTTCTCTCTAGGAACACGGTGAACTGTCTCCTCCACATCCTCAACTCTTTTAAAACCTGCATCCTTTTCAAGTCATAATGGTCACCAGTTGGGGCAAATTTTTGTCCAATTGTAAACTTCACTGTACAAATTGAAGTTGATTGATAATAATGCCAAACAGGATGGAAAATTCTATCTACTTGCGAAGGATGATGACTTCCAAGACCTTCTTGTGTAACTGCTCCTTGGCAGACGGGCTATTTTAGTCATGCTTGTGTAACAAAACAGGCTGCGGCAACGTTGCACGGAGGCTGCAAACCCAAACAGTCGCGGGGCAACTATTGTTCCACGCTGCAATCCGTCAAATTTGCTCTATTGATTTGTCACAAGATGTGCCTAGTACAGAACAAATTAATTAAATCAAACTATCAAGAATGCTGACCCCCGTGCTAGCGGCGTTGAAGTCTGCGTGTGGCTCCTGCTTTGTCGTGCGAAAGTGGGATGTTAACAAAGAAAAAGGGGAAATAGCAGTTAAATTTCCACAAAAGAGCAGAACACGGGAGGTAAGAAATTCACGGATCATGTATTGAATTGGCTCGTGGTTTCTTTTTCAAATAAAAAATGGTCCGTGGAAACTTTATGGGTGGAAAAAGCAAAAATGTTTTATGCACCGCAGGGGGTCATTAGTAAATTGGTGTGGGGACCAGTCCCCATAGAAATATTATTGATGACCGCACTATCGCCCTCTGATTTTGTTTGTGTGTTGTATCGTCACAATGACTGCCCTGAAGTCTTTCACTGGCCAGTCTGAACCGTTAGAGAGAAACTATAGACGAAATAAAGAACCCTCAAAAGTAAGCCAATAGCACCAGAGTATATCACAACATTTCTAGTGATCCTGCGGCAAAAACCAATGGGAGTCGACTTGAGAACTCATCGGACGGCCTCTACAATCGTGAGTACGGGTTTTAGCGGACAATTGCGACCTGCAGATTTGTTTTTCTTCTTAAAGTTCTGAAGCCCTGGACTTTCTCAGTTTCAGTTTACTGACAGTGGTACAAAGCGGATTCGGCGTGTCAGAAAGGTAGGGATGGTGAACGACAGTGAACCCGGAAAACCGGCGGACATGAAAATAAAAAGTGTGTCTTTCAAGTTATCAAGTAACAATTTTAAAAACAGAGGGAAAAAAAAAGGAAAAAGAGGAAGTAATTCTCCAGCAAATATATAAAAAAAAATAAAGCCCAAAAAAGAGCAAATGGGGAGGGGCTGCTGGGTGTTTGTGTGGACGGTTAATGCAAAGAGAGGAGTATTCTCTCTTATTTTTGATAGACGCGATACAATCTTTCGGCTTCCCACTGGGACTTGCTCGTCTGTGATGGTGGAGTCAAGGACATTCGATATTGCGAGTTTGCCGACAGCACAAGAATATGAATCTACTGATTAACCATAACCTTAGAGATGATTTTTCTGACTGGATTTACTCTCACATTCTGCAGATATATACTTGCTGTGCAAGGGGCAATTCTGTAGACTGTATAGTGACAAGCTCTAAACCTAGAAATGACATCCTCAGCATCTAATCCATCATGCTTTTTCTTGTACGCTCCTGATTGCAGTTGGCAAGGGCGCATGAGCGGTAGCAACATGTGTCTTCAGCTGCAAGTGGTCACCAGACCTGATGACGTTGCCGTATCTCGTTGGGAACTTTGGCCATTTCGGACCTGGTCAAAGTTATTGGAAAACAGCCGGTCCCTTGAGTGGTACCCGCAATATAAAGCTTACCAAACAACCCATTTTATGGAGGGCGCCATGCATTGAAGCAAAGTAACCCCTACAGAGCAGCCACCTCTTTTTCACTAATGATCAAATTTATCTTGTGCACAAGTAGGTGACCATCATTCCTCTTGGCAAAATTTGGGTTCTTGATTTTGTTATGTTCAATATGCTTTTGTGAGACTCTTTTCCTGTTAAGAGTAAATATCACTTTCATAATGCAGTTTAAGATATGTCATTGTTTGAAAATCTAATTATTACATGAGATCTTACAATAATTAAATTAGATTTTACCTGTCAAACATTGATTTGAAATACTGAAATTTCAAAATATCGCTTGCTCAAAAAAATCTTCCAGTGAGACTTACGTATCATGCACTACAGAGCACAAAACCTTACAAAACTTTGCCGACCCTTCACCGTACAGGTTTCGCGCTACGCGCTCACAAATCACATTCCCCACAAAGAGATTTCATTTTCTGGCCACCGTAGTAGAAGTATCTTCCTAGGCATCGGATGTGCCTTCCAATGGCAGTTAGCCTAGCAAGTGTAGTCCCACGAAGGAGTGAAATGCGTGTAACATCACGTGCTCATGGTCATAATTAAATTATTGTTTTTCCACGTGACGAGCACCACCAGGTACGACCCAGTACAACGCGATACCACCGGGTCGGCCTCGTCAGGCCTATATAGCTGGAGTCAGCAATGTGCTTACATTCCATTTTTCAAACGGCACCCAGCATGATGGACCATACATTCCGTAAGGTTGACCATACACTTTGTCTTTGAGGGAAATTTTGTATTGCTTAAGCAAATCCACCGACTAAATTCCCAGGATGATCTTAGGCGGAACTCAACGTCATCTGTTGCTGCTCATGGTGATGAGCTTTCTTACTTACAAGGGTGTAGTCTGCGGGATGTCTGAGAAAGGTAAGTCCTCAGGAGCTCAGCTAGGCCTAATTGAGTCGAGAACTCAATTGCCGAAACCAAGAATAAAATTAAGCTTCTTTCAACACTGAGCTTCAAACACAGCGCGTCTTTCGAGTTTAACCCCGAAGTTCTCCAACTTCTTACTTTTTGTGAACCAAGGTTCTTTGCCACGGGAGAGCATTGGCCATGCACTGATTACAAATGTGTTTTAAAACTTTGAGCTCACGGTAAAGCCAGTGTAACTACATGTAGTTACATCTTTGTACTCGTACAAATAGCGTTACAGCATTTCATATGAATTCCAAGTGCCGGGAGTTCTGTAGGATCCTTGTCTAAAACTTGAGCCAAAAAGAGTCTCAACAAGAGACAACGCGATAATTTACGAGAGTGTTGTGCATTATTGCTGGCGGCCCTGGGGTTCTGACAAGCTTTGAGTGTGATTTATCGGTTTCACCTTTTTCAGCTGGCATAAATAAAAATAAAAAATAATAAATAAATCAGGTAATGTTTCAAGTTACCGGGGGTCGAGTTGATGTCATAGCTTTGCCCTCCTGTCATTGACTTTCCATGGCAGTGAAGGCAGAGATCGACAGACGGAGAATAAACTGTTTACAGACAAGACCACCGGATGTCACTGTGATCCCACGCATAATCCAAGGGCGTCTCTACTAGTCTGTTTCATGTAGGCCTATATCGCCTGTTACTTGCACTACTCACGACATTTTGCCTTTTTACGGCTTGAAATATGTTCCGACCGTATTTCCCCATCACTGCCAAGTTTTGCCATTCTGGGAGGGGGGCCGGGGGGCGATTCAAGTCAGAATTAGTCCCAGTTGATCGTGAAAGGCGACCTCTCGCGGCACGAAGATCGGACCTTTGACAAAAATGTAAACAGCGAACGCACCGTAGTTCGGAGAGACGGCGAATGTATGACATGCATGATGTCAAGCGTTTGATAAAAACTAGGCGCCTAATTTGGTATGTACATGCATTTCGTCCAAACTGAAACTGAGTTTTGTGGTGATTATGATATTTTTAATTTAAAGATTGCAATCAACCACGAGACGTGAAAAAATCCAAACCCTGCCTAACCATGGTCAGAGCAAGGACTCTATCTTGCTCTTTCTTCAACGTCATGCAGACTCCTTGTGGAGATTACGGTGGCGCACTTGACACATCTCAGCTGAGAATATCCCACAGGCAATAACACTCAAGAAGAGCTTCAAAGTGGTTAATTTGTGGTAAATCATTGTTACCTCCAAACTACAGATGTTATTTATTAGTTTTGGTAGTTATTTATTTGGGGGCGCATTTTAAAAAGTTCATTTTGCACTTCAAATTAAATCAGAAAATGAAAGTAGAATTTCATTGGAACTTTCTAGTGGGTATGTTGAACGTAACAGTAACATAAGAACTTCATAAAATTTCACTTACTGTGAAAGGTAAGGTAAAAATATTGTTCTTAAGGTACTAGAAAACAAAATTCAAAGTGTGCCAATTTACTTCAAGATTTCAAGTCAGCTAAAGGGCCAAAGGTGCAGAAAATAAAATTGACTTTCAAGCTTGGAAAAAATTCCCAATCTCATTTTCAGAAGCCCTTAGCAAGAGGGACTCTCCACACATAGGCCTAAAGGGAATGTTACCGTGTGGCTCACTATATACGGAGGTAGTTCAGTATGAGACACATTATGGGGCTATGTTAGGGGCCATGCCATGTTAGAGTAAATCAACAATATTCAAATTTATGAAAATAAAATGTGCTGATAGGTGTTCTCTCTGATCAAACTCAAATTATTTTTATACATTTTTAGATAAATTCTTCAATTTCTTTCAATTTCTTCAATTCATTCACAGTAAAGCAATGTACTCTTTGTTTCAATGCACAGACTCTTTTTGCGAGCCCATCACCCAACCCATCTGCACAGGCTCCCGTGTCATTCACCGCCATACAGCCACACCAATCACTGTACCCACTCTGGCCAGCAATGATGGCTCTAGCATTGCCTATCACACCCAGAAGGAGGCCGCGGCTGAGATCCGCAGGTACCGCCCCTTGCTGGACAGGGCCAGGAGTTGTAGGGAGTTCCTGCGCCCCTTCCTGTGTGCTGCCTACCTGCCAGCCTGCAGTCCGGCGTCCACTGAACCCATCCCGCCCTGCCGTGACCTGTGTGAGAGGGCATGGGGGAGGTGTCGTCGGGCCATGAGGCATCTTGGGCTGACCTGGCCTGGGATGCTGGATTGTGGGAAATTTCCATCATGGGAAGAGAACCCAAGCTGCTTGTCAGGTAATGGACAGGGGTGTTCCCGAAATCTGCCCCTACTTGACGCAAGCCATTCACAGACAAAGAAGAGACAGGTGGAAGTGAATCATTTTGTCTGGGCACAGAGAATGCTATGTAATGCTATGCAAAAGCACATTGACCATCTCTTGCTCCTGCATGGACCAGAGAACCTAATTCCAGTCTTGTCTAAAAGTTTACGTAGCATTGTCACTAATTCAGTGGCTACAAGCATTGTGATATTGTGCAAAGGCACTATGTCAGGACAGTCACTCCACTATCTGTCATTAATTGGGGCCATCAGGAATGTCTAGTTAACTGTCATTGGATTTGTCTTTTAGCACTCCCTGCGTAAACTTTTCCCGTATGTCTGAAATTCTGGGCAAAAATGTTGGAAACAGTCCCTGTAGTGCTCAGTTTTGAATTAATCTGTTCAAAAAGGATGTGAGGAAGTGTAACAGTTTCTTCATGAGGCCGTCAATTATGAACTATGCCGGGCCAATATCAGATTTGTGATCACTGACACACCTTCCAGATAAATAAAAAAACAGGAAATAAGATTGCCATGTAATGAAAAAAAATGACATTGTGGCCCCAGCACTGAAAATGTCAAATAGATATTGATGCCCCAGCTTTGACTTACCATGCTTTACTACATTGTTTTTCATTTCCCATACTGTACATATGGCATTGCTTTTAGAATTCTTCTTTCACTATCGACTCTCTTTAGAAAGACTTTGCCTCAATGTTGATAGTCAAACTTTCTAACAGGAAAGTGGTAATTGAATCTAAACTGGTCTTAGCTTTGTTGTTTAACAATTTTGTTCTTGTAAATTGTGTCTGCTTATCAATTTTGTCGTTTTCTCTCTAAATGCTTTGTCGAAATGTTTCATGTTCTTGATTCCCTTTGCATCTTACCTTGACCCTTAGCCCTTAACATTGGTCCGCTCGACGTCATGTCTCACCAACCAACCATGGTCAGCGTGCAGTGTTCCTATGACCTCTCACCTTCAGCGCTACCCCAGTGGCTGATGCCAGACGGCACACCGGTATCAGGTCAGGCACACTCTTATGGGGTTATTCTTTTTGTTCATGCATTTTCATAGCATGGATAGAATTAGACTGGTAACTGTCGTTACTAGTCTCCTATTTAAAATTACAAACATGTAAGGACAGGCACACCGTCCTCCAACACTACTGTCTGTCAATTTTGCAAATTTGCAAACTCGAAATGTTAGATTTTTCACTCCTTTAAAAACTACAGTGGCTTCAAAATATCATGTGAGTCGTGTTTTTACTGCCGTGGCCCATGTGTTAGTCAGAATGCTGTTTCAGTGAGCTTGGAAGTGGTTCTCATTGACTCCTTTCCACTTTGAAATTCACTGCATGGGATATACGTTTTGTGGTGATGTCACAATATTATGCAAATTCCAGGCTCACTGAACATATAGTCTAACAGGTTGCCCTCTCTTGTGCATTAAAGTTCATGAATATGCAAGTTCCAGCGAGTGCTGCCAACTACATGTGTACATGATGGCATAAGGACTTACTCATTGTATTGCACTTGTGTATATGCCAAGTGCCTGCATATCACTACATAATGCCTGCACCTATATTTCATGCAGTAAGTTATAGTCAGGAAAGAACCACTATAATAAGGGTTTTCATTACCATTAGCACCCTGTTCCTATTAGGACACAAAGTCTACATTTTCGAAACAACTTACCTAAATTAGTTAGCGGTGATGTCCTCTTTCATATCAGAAAGAAAAGAGGGAGGGGCTTTGGCTTTTTAAGGGAAATTATGGGGTAAAACGGCAGTGTAAAATGACGTGACAAAGAGCTGTGAACGAAGATGAATCCACGCTTGTAGCCTGGTTCCTTGACTTGGAACCATAAAAGTTTCTTTTTTGAAATTCATTATATCCGCAATGAGTGGGTAACCAGATGTGAGCCAAAACTGGCTCAATGCAGTTGTCTTTCGCCGAGCTCGAGTAAAAAAAATCTGGTTTTCTTGCTTAAATATTGTTAAAATTTACCAAAACTAGAGCTAATAGGATTAAGGAATGGATGTCTGAATATTAGTTAGTTTGAAAAAATATACTTTGGTTTTTCTTATTATAGTAACAGGGTGCAAATGGTAATGAACGCCATAATTTGGGCCTCAGGTTGGTAACTACACCAACCTGACTCGTTAATAACAGAATATAATGTGATTTTTGTTTTGTTTGTTTGGCAGAGGATCCGAAGCAATCAGTCTATTTTGAGAGCATCAACAAAAGGGTCGCAAATCTTTTCATTCGAGGTTTTGTTGACTCACAGCATCGTGGAAACTACACCTGTATTTCTGAGGACAGAGAATTTAGCCGAAGGATTTCCTTGGACAACATTTTTGAACCTGTCCCAGGTAAGGGCATTGGTGATGAGGTGCAGATGATAATTATGGCATGATCAAAAGTTGGTCTAGTTTCATCCTCGTAAGGTTCACAGTTATTTACCTCTTGCTTTCTATGTGTAATTTTGGGCCAGTCAGCCAGATATTTCAGCACCTTTCATATTTGTTGGACTTCGGTGGGTTTGGAGGATGCCATACCTGGCCGGCAAAGGAACCAATGCAGTGAATTGGAAGGTGCCAATTGCATGTTGGGAAATTAGCTTGAAATTCCTTGGAGTGTGTTGCCGACCTCCACTATGGTAGTATATCGGCAGTAAAGCATGGGGGCAGTCATGGAAAGTGAAAATTGGAGTGATTTGGAGGACGTAAAAGAGTTGGGATTAAATTTTCTTTTAAGTATGTGCTCCCTTCCACTCATAAAAATATCTGAACATGTCCAGAACTCTGTATTTATTGAGTGAAAGTTTACACGAGTGAAGTGAAAATGTTAAAAACTCCCAAAGTTTTACTTAAGATATCATCTAGGAGTTTCATTCTCTCCCTGCTTAAAGTTACACCAGTAGTTCTCTGGTCTAGAGCAGCGTGTGTGAAATTTGAATTCACTGAACATTCACTTACTGAAGGCATTTGTTATAATTTTTCGCTGGCATATGTCTTCTATTTTTCTCTGTCACTGTCGTAGCAAACTTCTCGTGTGAAGCAATCACAGTTCCTTACTGCGTCAACCAAGTCACGTACACGCACGCCTCTTTGTCAAACTCCACTGGCTTCGTCTCGCAATCGCAATTAGACATTTTCATTGAGGATGTCTTGAAACCTGGGAACTGCTCTCCTCACCTTCCAAGTTTTCTCTGCAGTTACCTACTCCCAAAGGTCAGTCAGTTCCAAAGTACTCAACACCCCTCAGGTCCCATTAAATGAGACAGTGGTTTTTTGTTTTTTTGGCAAAAACATTCAATTCTCCCAAATCTACCACTTTGGAAGATACCATGGCCAGTGGTCTGCTGTTTTTAACTTTAAACTATATCCACTATTTTTCAATCCTGTAAACTTCAAACTCTCATGGTGAAGTTAGAGGGACCCAGGGAAAGCGGTAGGGTTTAATTGTTATCCCAAAAACTGAGTTTACAGAAAAAACAAACATTGCCAAGTACGAACAATTGCTTTCTTCCCAGCGCGTTACATGTACATGCAATGTGTACGATAGGACAAAGCATGGCTTTTGGGGCATGGGGGGCTTTTTTTTCTGAGGACACTCTCTTATCCTGTGTCTGATGTTGACAATTGAATTTGTACACTTAGCACCAAGCATGATATATTTTGTGGTATATTTAAATCAGTGTGTGCTGTAAGGCTGTGAATCGTCACAAGACAATCTGTTTTTGTTTTGCTTCTTCAGTGTGATGCAGACGGAGTTCACCATGACATCCAACCCTGCAAGGAGCTCTGCTTGAAAGTCTTCTCTGACTGTGAAGAATTTTCGGTTCTTATAGGGATGGGGGGACTCCCAGCACCATGTGAAAGACTCGTCCAAAGTGGGCAGGGCCGTGAATGCTACAACGGTATTTGTCTTGACTGGTGCTCTGACACATCACTTGCAATAAACTGGCACTCAGTCTACAAAATTTACCAAGTATTCATGAATGGAAGCAGGAATCCACAATGTTGTAGTCAAGACCACTTAAGACCTTTGCGAGACCAGCACAAGACCAACACAAGACCAACGCAAGACCTATCCAGTCTGAATTCAAGCCACAAGTTAGTCAAATGAACTGCAACAAAAGCATTCTTTTGTCATTTTTCATACTGTCACGTGTGACTGGTCTTGTGACTGGTCTTGCGAATGGTCTTGCGACTGGTCTTGGGATGGTCTCGACTACAACTCTGGGAATCCGTGGGAAGGCTGAAATGAGAGTAAAGACTTCGTAAATGTCGCTGATGCTGAAGGGAGAGTGAAGACTTTGTAAATGTCGCCGATAGACTGATATCTAGGTTTTTTTGAAAAACCTTATTTCTAGGAGAAGAGCTCTAGAGCTGATAGAGGGCAGTATAATGCTGCGTGCCAGAGACAGTGTTTATGAAGTAGGCTGTGATCAACTTTTACTTGTTTCCCTGTTCTTCATTACAAATTCTGTGACCTCAAGGAAGCTGGCACAGGCCTTTTCCCATGTTGAAACTGGATCATGTGCAACTTGGTGGTTCTTCTTAAACTCTCTCTCACGTTTTTAATGTTGACAAGCTAGGCAACCAACTTTATGTTGTGTAGGATTGATCCTTCATCAACTTGAAGAAAAATTACCTGGATTTAAATTGGAGAAATGAGGGGCCATGAAAAAAAACGTTTTTTAAGCATTAGGCTATCCTTTAGATGTGTGGAAACTTTTAAAACTATTAAACTGACCTAAAGACTCTGATGTTGAAACTCCTTGAAACTGAAGCATTGGTTTTGTTTCTGGCTTGAGCATTGAGAAGTGTAAAAGTTGTCGAGACTTTGGTGGATGTGGACTGATAAGACTTAAACATGTTGAAACAACAAAACAGTATTGCTTCCAGTGCATCTGCATTGAGATTGGG